GACTGCATGCTTGTAATATCAGCACTTGGGAGGCAGAAGCATGAGAATTATGTCTGAGGCCAGCCTGGGCTACAGTTAGTTTAAAGCCAAGCTGAACTACAAAGTATGACCTTGTTTCATTAAATAATAAAAATAAAATAAATAATGTATCTCAAAATCTTTCATCCGTTAAACTGAATTTTATATGTATTTCTGATCATTTTCAATGCACATTTTTGTTACATATAAAATTTGGTTTTTATTCCTTTGCAGATTTCTAATTTTGTTTCATTTCATTGCATATCTTGATGAAAAGGACGAATCTGTCAAAAGGAAAGTTGAACAACTGCGTGGTAGAAATATAAGTGGGAAATCAAGTTTTCACCCCAGCTTTTGGGCATGCTTGGTGTTGAGCGTGTTTCAATTTGGTAGCAATGTCTGGACAAAAGAGGATATGCCAAGAGGGGGGAGAGCCCAAATGTCTCCCTTGTCAGCCATCTGATGAGCACATAGAATGATGACATCAGACCCATCTCTTCTGGCACAGATAACCAAGGTCCCTACAGCTAGCTGGGCAGATGGAAGTGTGCCTAGGTGAGGGGCAAACCAGAAGTATCTCCTCTAGATACCGGCCAACTGAGAGGATACTGTAGTTCAAGGTTGAAAAGTGCTTTTTAGATTTAGTTGTGTCTTGTAGCAATTTTAGTAAATAAACCTATTTAGGTTTTATCCCAATAAAAAATTGATGATAAAACTATGCTATTCCCTGGGCTTTTTGATACCAATATAGGTCAGTGCATTTAATCTTCTAAGATCTTCCTGTTTTAACCTAAATCAATAAAATGGCTTGAAGGAACAGTCTGCTTACAGAAAACAACTGATTATGCCAAAAAACTGAATTCTTGCAAGACACAAAGTACAGATATAAAATATTTCTCAAGATTAACAATTATCTCATGACAATAACTTACTATGAAATTGTCTAGTATTTTCAATGGGGGTTTTAAAAGTACAGAACTTGCTTTTTTGCTAGAAGTGTGTTCTGAGAATAAATCTGATTTTCACCTAATTTTTGTTTACAACATAGTCCTTTACCTATTATTAATTTGGGATAGGCAAGCTATGAAATAAACTAAAATGCATAAGCAGCACTGTGCAGTGTATTAAATAAGCAATAGCCATTTGTCTGAGTCTTTTTTTTAAACACCACCAATTAAAAAAATAAAAAGATAACCCTTTTAAAGTCATTCCTACATGTCCTACATGTGTGGTATTCACACTTTTTTTTTTTCTTCCTTTTTGGTACCTATAGAATTTAGGCAGTGGACACCAGAATGTAATGTCTGAAAAGAAAAAGACCAATTTAGACCAAAAGCAATTAAAAATTAGTCCCATAATAACATAGTAACAACTCAAATGGCTTTTTTTAATGCTAGGAAAATTGTTCACCTTTCAACGGTGACAGTACTATAACACAGGTAGAGAGCAAACAAGGTAAAAGTGAAAGCACATTCAGATGTACACAAATATATATAAAACTGACCAGAAATCACAAGACATTTAAGCAATGTTTTAAGCAGAACTATTTTTTTTAATACTTTTAAATAGACTAAAATATTTGGTGTGGGTGGGGGAAGAAAATCAGTATTTCACAATTTTAACTTGAAAACCATCTGTAATAAAGCCCCAGCTCATTGTTAAAAAATAAAAGAAAAAATAATAAAAAGAAACCACATCATTTTTTCTGAGTCATAGGAGGAACGCTTACATAGAACACACTTAACATCTCCTTCACAGTGCGCAGAGGATGCAGCCACTGAGGACTACCAGAGGGAACAAGAACAGAGTGCATGCCCATTGTACTGCATTACAAAGTTGATGCCTTAGGAAAGCCTTGGCTCACGTGCTTGGTGTTCTAGCTGGTGAGCACCTTAGGAGTAGGAGGACATAAGACTCGAGAGCAAATACAGTAGTTCAGTCTCTATCCGAATACCCAATTTCTTCAAGTGCTATTGGCTGATGCATTTAATAATCTCAATGTAACATTCACCAGAGCAAATTTAACACATTATTCTGGCTTCTTGAACAAGACAGAAATGTAATAGAGGTCAGACCATCAAAGGTCATATTTTTTCTCTTGAGAGAAGAAATTTACAACCACTCAATTTTTGTTTACTGAAAAAAAACTTACATTTCACATTAAACCATTTAAGGATGCATAATTCATACTTGCATATACACAGATCCTAAGAACTTAACTATCTAGTTGCCTCTTCTCTGTTCCATTAAATCAGTTAGCTTTCCTGGTTCACTGTTGGTCTTATCTATGTTGATGTTTTTAGCTATAATAAGCCTCATGTTCAATTCATAGTACTAGCTGATTGGAGGAAACCTATTCCAGTAATGGAAAAGCTGACAGCCTTGAGGCAGATGAATGCAGGAGCAACAACGATGTCACACAGTGAGAGCTAACCACAAGAACATCTACAGTGGTGAAGTCTTCCTGAGTGCCTAGGACTCACCCGGGTCTAACAAATGAGTCTTGAATCCAAGAAACCTCACAGTCCTGGGCTCACCAGGGCAGCTCATCTTCGGACACCACCCACTCATCCCTCAGCATGACTAGAGAAAAGTTAATACTTCCCAAGAGCTTAAGACTACTTTTAAGGACAACAGCTTCCAAAATATTTTTAGCTCACTTGTTAATGGTCAGTTCCTCCAAACTTGCTAAAAGACTAAGACAGCCCGAAGTATCATATTTAAAGGCATTAAGAATATTTGTGAGCAACCACACAAATTTAGTTAACAATGTACCAAAACTCATTCTTGAAATCTTTCAAGACAAAATTTCCAAAGTTTCTTCTGGCTTTATTGGGTTATGTAGTATTTTACTGTATGCTCTTCAAATTTGCAGAGCTAAATGAATAAGCTATTTTGTATGTCATTTCATATTCTTATTTTAGGTGGAAACATTCAATGCCAGCTATTGCCCACATTGTTGCTTCATATATTGGAAGGATGACTGCCAAATGGAGATATTTACAAAGGCCCAAAATTACAATACTTTTAACAGTGCTCCAACAGAAGAGTTGTCCTTGGGGAAAGAACAGCAAAAATATTCAGACATGAACCTTTTTGCCTACAATGATGTGATCGACTGCAGAAATGCTTTCATCTTAATCTCTACATATTTACTTGTTTTATTTTCTTACATAAAAGTTCAGTGTCATAGCATCACTATCACTAATAAAAACGTACAAATATGTTTGCCTTAAAATTAAAAGTCAGGGTCAAAAGCAAAAATGAAGCCTGAGGTAAAAGTGGTCTAAGAAATACCCGATTTGGGTTCTGAATTTTGCAAAAAAAAAAGTTTTTAGTTAAAAACTTAAGCATGTTACCTAATTGCTACATACATAATTTTTCTCCTGATTTAATCTGTGTATATTAGTTATATAAACCAACAAGTGACTACATTAAGGCAAGGCTAAATATTCACCAGAAAGGGGCCCTATTCTTTTTCACCACATCTCTTCAGCTTGAACAATCTGCAAATGTGAATAATGAACAGTTTCTTAGGGACTTAATGAAGAAAGGAAAATTTCACTGCAAGAACAGAGACTTCAGCAAGACTTCTATTCCTACAGAAAAATGCTAAGAACAAACTTTATGCTTCAGCATTGTAAAGGGCAGAACTTAATATAGAACTAAAAATGTAGCAAGTTATTCAATGACTAACACCGTAAAATAGCCAAGATCTTCAAAGCCACAGGGAAAGAACAGTCCATTACAAAATGGGAAATATATATTTAATATTTTTATATTTCCAAACTTCACTTTTGTCCTTATATTATGAATTTCACTGTTCAATAAATTATCTTTAATTAGAAATAGGAAGCAATCCTTAATTACCATTCCCAAAAATAAACTGGAAATTTTAGATGAGTGTCTTAGTTTGTTGGAGGGTCAGAGAATACCACTTTTCTTGAAATTCTTAAAAGAAAAATTTGACAGTGCTCTGGATAGTTAATCAATCCTCCTAACCTAAAATACTAGTGGCATTATTCTTCCAAGGGATCCTTACATCTCAAGCATTTGTGAAATTCTGGGTCCATCATGGTCCTTACAGCGGCAAGCCAACTAACACTGACATTGTAAAAGTACTCTGGCCAGGTCCCCAGTGGGTCAGGGATGGATGGCCCAAGGAACTTTGGAAAATCCATTTCCACTGAGCCCAGCTAGGAAAATGAGGTCTGCATCACCTTCAAGCTATTGCCAGATACAGGAGAATTTGATCTCTCTAGGTATCTGAAGCAGCAATCTTATTGGGGCAGGGAGGGGCCTCCTAAATGAAGCACAATCTAGTATTTTTTAAGAGTTAACATTAAGTTGGTACATTCTAGAGGCCTTTGTATTAGATGTATAATTTAATGAAGGGGTATATGGCAAAACTTTATCTGATTTTAATGAATTCCACTTGTGATTCTTGTCAAGCTACCTAAAAATGACATATTAACTGGTAATAACTTATGCCTCTGGCAGAATTTTTTTTAAAAAATTACATTGATGAAAGGAAAATGTCTGCAAGCAAATTAAAAACTTTTTATTGAGATCTGAGATTTAAACAATAGATTTACCATTATTAAAATGACAGGATGGGTTATGTGTATTTAAACTTATACACACATTTAATGTACTATATTTCCTGCTAAAAAGTTTGAGGCAGTTCTGCTATAAAGTTAGCTACAGTATCAAAGATAAAACAGTTCCTCACTCAAGAAACTGCATGAACACACGAGACAAGTTCTTATCATAAAGGCTATCATGAGCCTATCTTAATATAACTCACACTTCCTGGTTGTGAGGCTCAAAACACAGGAATTCTACTTCAAAAGATAACTTGTCCCTCAATCACTACACACAAAAGGTAGTCTGAACAAACAAAATATTCATGAAAACCTAAAAAGAAAATAGAAATGGAACTCAATAGGGCAGGGGATTTAGCTCAGTGGTGCCACTTGCCTGCCTCATAAGTGCAAGGTCCCAAATTTAATCCCTGGTAAAAAAGAAAAAAAAAAAAAAAGTAATGCAACTCAATAGCAGGATTCTGACCCTCTCTGGAGATAACACACCATTTTCATCTTGATTGTACTGAATACAAAAATCAAATATGCCCCAAGATAAAATAAGGCTATTACAGGGAAAACATTGGCTCCAACTGTCACAAAGTTCATAATCTTAAATATAACTTACATAGAGAATTGCTACTTGCCAGTCACAAAGACCACACTGCAGAGAATTTCAAAGACACTTGTAAGATTAAAGAAACAAGCCAATTTGAACAATATCAACCTTTCTGGTAAGGAAAATGAGGACCTGGGATATAAAAAGCACCTTCCTTTATGGGTAATACTGAAGTTCAAAGGAGAGACATATTTTGATGTACGCAGATAAAGTGAGGTCGACGGGAGAAGGCAATCAGGAAGTACCATATGGATACATGTTAATGAGAGGAAGAACAAAATTCAGTTGAGAAATATAAGATTTAAAGTAAAGCACATGAAAGAAAAAAACATGGGTGATAATATGATTTGTCTAAATATCAATGCTTCAGTTGATAATAAAAGGAAAGAGCACGGTTGCTCATGTCCAAAGACTGAATTATCTAAAGATAGTTGAAGAGACAGCATGAATGGGGGTAAAGGGAATGTTCAGCTTTTAAAGCAAAGACTGCACATAATTTTAAGTACAGAGAAGATTGTCTTTTGTTACTCTACATCCCACCATAAACCCATCCCACCCTTGGACCAAGAGGTGCCTAACAGAATAAATGCTCAAAGTATTTAGTAATTTAAAGAAAGATAGATTTTAAAGGTATATATGGGCAGTTTTTAGAAGAGGTAGAGAAACCAAATGGGTATATGCTTTTATTTGATTTCAACTAGCGAGAGACTAGACTGGTTTTCATGTTCAAAGTCTTAGTCTTGATTCAAATGACAATGAAGGCACAAATAAAGTGAAATTAAAGTAATTTTAACCAAGGGGAAAATCTGACAATCTTAAGACAGATGAATCAAACAAAACTGCATATGGTTTAAGGTAAAAATATAACTAGATATTAAATAATCTGCAAAAATATACTTAGAATACAGCGTAAGAGTACAGATCTTTAGCCTTTAGCCTTCAAGAAAAATTAGACGGATATCCTTCTGGCAAAATGACAGGTCCTGAGAGCAACAGTAACCCCCAGAGGACTAAGCCCTACTTGAGGGCTAGGACTAAGCTAATTATCTTTTTATTACTCAACATCTATCACAGTGGCTGGGTAAACAGGCATCAATCAGTAAGTGTTCACTGACCAAATGTATACAATAATGTACAGTCAGTACAATTGGTGTGGTTCAATCCTTTAAGAAAGCGTCTCTAAATAGGATGAAAAAAAATCACAATTTAGTGGCATTCTAAAAGATTGGCCTATATCCAGTTATATTTCTAATCCACTTATAAACAATTGCCAAAGCTTATTAAAAAAAAATCAAAAACTCTTCTTTCAAAAGAAATCCCATGTACAGCCTAATATAAAATAAAATAACCTGCCACTGGTTGGGCAAAGATCACTGAGAACTCCAACAGCCTTCACATCCTAAGCCTGCCCTGAGGTGTCACTTGAGCCCCTGGGAAAAACCCTTTTAGAGTCAGGACAGCAGCAGAGTTCTCAGGGCATTAAACTGAGGATACCAACAGTGTTGTGCAGGTTAAGTTCTAAATAATGTTACTAATTTAAATAATGATGAAATTCAACAGAAGAGATTTTATGGTTTGGAATAAAAACCACCCCTTCAAAAGAAAAAAGTCAACAAAAACGAGGCCATAGTAGACAAAATATAATGCAAAAGCCAGTATCTCATAAAAACAAATATAATCATTAAACATATTCACATAAATGTAATCATCACCATGATGAAATTAACTACTCAAGAGGTACAGCTGCTCAATACAAGTGTTTGCAAAGAGTTCAGTCCTGGTTTCATACTGTACAGAAAAGTCCCACCTGAATTATGGAGGTGTGCTCCACTGTTGAAATGCCATTGTTGGCAACTCTTCATTTAACATGTAACTGCCTAGACCTTCTATGCTTTCAAAGTTGTTCTTTGCCCCCAGGACTGTTCCCCAGCATCAGTATACATGTTCTCAAGTATGCAAACTTCCACTGAGGTGCAGAGGTTCCACCGATTATCTCCAGCAGTCCCCATCATGGTAACACCCGGGACATTTACTCTAATCACAAGTTGGACAGTAGAAGTAATAATTAGTGGGCAGCAGGAAGTCCGGAAGCAAGCAGGTCACTATGGTGGTGAACATTTGCACAATCATGGGTAGTTATGCCATATTAAGTGGTATTGACCTGGTGCAAATAAATTTTGTAGCAAAGATTTGAGGAAGAAGATATATTAGTGAGAATGACACAAAGCAGTCTATCACAAAATAAGGCCACCTTCAACATTTTATAAACTGTAGAACCATTCTGATCTTCAAGTTTGGATTTGTGGAGAGGTTTTTGTATAAAGAAAAGCATTACCACCTAATCCTAATAGAGAGTTTCCTTAAAAATGTGCCTTTGCACTTGATGCGTTCTTTTCACCAGGAATGCTTACTTCCCTCGGTTCTTCACATGGCTTGCTCCTTCTAGGTCAGGTGTTAACTCGAGCATCACTTCCTTAGAGGCCTTCCTGATGATGTCCTATCTGAAGCATCCCATTTGTTATTCTTTATCATAGTACCCTGTTTATCTCCTTCACAGACACATAAGATGATTATGGATTAGATTAACTGCTATCTCAGCAGAGGCAGAAACTATAGCTGTCTTGTTCACCTTTATCCAAAGGTTAAGAAAGTTCCTGGCACATAACAGGTGAACAATAAATATTTGCTGAATGAATAAAAAATTACTATACCAAATTTACACGAACATATACATATACACACAAATATAGGAAGATGGGGAGTATCCAATAAAAAACAACCCAATGCTGACAGTATCGAAAATGATACCTGTACATACAGGTGAATATGGTTTCAAAAAACAAGTACCAAAGGTATCTATCTTCAAAACTGTGAAAATTTACGAAAAGGGATCAGGAGTGGTTATTTTCCATTTCTACTGAGATGCAAAGAAGAAATGTTTATACTGCAATGAGTCAACATTAGACATTATCATTATTTGTTGCAGAATGGATGACCAACAGAGGTGCTGGAATCTCCTCACTGCAGAGCACAAAATATGGTCAACCACATACCTAAGATTAGTTAAGAACAGCTCAGACATTTAACTGTAAGCTTAAAAAAAGTTGCTAAACAGCTTTTCCAATTTTTAAAATTCTGAATTGGTAACTATGTAAAATAACATTCAATTTATAAATTGAATATAACATACTTTAAAAACAGATGGCCCTTATCTGCTGATTATACCTCAGCATCTCTTTTCTAGGTATTTTGCAGAAGCAATTACATTTACAAAAGGTCCATTTCATAATACAATCTGGTAACTAAGTCAAATGAAGCTACTCAACAAAGAGCAGATCTGCTGCTGAAATATCTTAAAATATCTTTTAAAAAAGGGTACTTATATTTATAGACTGCTTTAAAAAAGGATAAATATACTGAATTCTAGCACATCCCTGAAAATAATTATACTGCCACTTGTGCATTCTTCATGAGGTGGAAAGTTAAATCAATAAACTGATAGGTTATACAAGTCAATCAGTATATGCTGAAATCTGGTTGTAAGACAAGAGATTTACTCCAAATGAACTTTTACTGGACCCAGAATTAACTAGTGCCAGCAGTATCAGTGCACTTATTACCAGCAATGATGTCAAGCTGCACTGTTTTGGTATCAGAACAAAAGGGAGATCAAGAAAAGAGGCTTGAAAGGTTTTCAACATAGTTATCTTACAATGAAATTGAGCAGTAAATAAACATAAAAAGAGTGACTGTTAAGCCCCACTGAACACATTAAGGTCAAGGATTTCAAAAGTTATCCACTTTTCTTCCCCCAAGAGTTTATTTTTGGTAAAAGGCAGAAAAATTAGTTTTTCTACAAGGAAAATCTGCTTCTAAATGATAATTTGAAAATCTTGATGTATATATATTATATATTTGAAAAGACAAAAATAACAGAATTGGGAATAACAGATTAGGTACTGTAACTTTATAAAGGCTTGCCTAGATCAAGAAGCAGCGCACGCACACGCGTGCACGTGTGCGTGCACACACATACTCACACACACACATACCTCATTTATGCAAACTAAAAATGTATTAACAGCACAATACTGCGATACTGGGTCATGATACATTACCTGTACATATAACTACTACTGTTATTAATAAACCTTTGGGACATTCAGTCTTAGGCCCAACAAGACATGATTAAGTCTTTAAATCTTCTCTTCCCCCTTTATGGGAGGGCAATTCTAGACACTAATTTTCCCATCTAATATTCAAATATAGGAAGCAGATTCCACAAGGTGCTTTAATTGATGAGACCTCAAGTGCTGTTTTCTCTCTGGAATTTTTGGATAGCAAACAGTCCATGGGGACCATACACAAATACTATGACAGAAGAGTTGGTAAGTCTTTTGATGGGACTTGACTGGTGATGAAGCTTTATGACATGCTTGAGCAGCGCACTGAAGGGGATCCCATCTGAGTTAATACTTTGTCCAACCACTGTAGAGGTCCATTCAGATGAAGTTCTATCCAGCAAGGAGTACTTGTTACTGTCTGCCTCCTGAGGGAAGAATTACAGGAAAATAGTGACATTAAAGGGAAAGATTGCTATGATGAGGTACACACATTGAGAATTTTTGAAAATGTAAAAAGGCTGTATATGTAAAACTAATTTCTTTTAAATAATTATTAATTTTGGATACCCAACTATTATTTTGAAACATTCTTTTCCTTTCAAATTAAAATTAGTATGGTGACTATTATTTACCATCACATAAATGGGATACTTTTGAGAGAAAATATAGGCATCAGTAACAATCAAGCCAGGAGGAGAAACGTAAACTAGGAAGGACTGTCCTAAGAAAACTCAGAAACAGTCATCCTACTCAAGTCAATCAAAGAATAGCAGACACTCAAATATCAAATGGAGTCTACACAAAACAGGGTTCAAACTTTTTGTTGTTATTTTATTTGAGACAATGTCTCCCTATGTAGTTCAGGCTAGGCTTGAACTCATTGAGTAGCCAGGCTGGACTCCAACTAACAGCAATCCTGCCTCAAGCTTCCAAGTGCTAGGATTTCAGACCTGTGTCATTGTGCCCAGCTCAAATTTAAAGTATATCAAAACAACACAGAATTTCTACCCAAGCCAAACCTTTACCACAGAGTGTTAACATTTTGATTTCAAATTTCCCTGATGAAGCCAATATACAACATTCCTTTTAGCAATATTATTCAGGCTTTTGGTTAATAAACAAATACCTCCCCCAGAAAACCACACACACACCTTTAGTACTTCAACAAAAGGGGCTACTTCCTGGGAATCACAAATTATTCAATGACAGTCTGTCACTCCCAAGAAATGATTTTAGTTCTGTTTTCATTATATAGAATAAGTCAATAAATCTGCTTTTGCTTCTTCAACTTAACAGCCCTTCAAACATGGGAAGAGTTCACTGCCAACTCTTCAACTCTAAACAAGTGCCCATGAAATTTAAAATTGTATTTCCAGGAATGTTACTTTCTATAGCCAATGGAGTCAGTGCTCACTATACCCTTAAGATTCTTAGTGTGCTCTAATCAATTTCCAATTGCAGGTCTGTGCCTGAAAAATTCTCTGCTATGCATGCATATGCGTAGCAAGCTAAAGGTGCCAGGAAATTAACATCAGTTGACTGTGGGTAATAGAAACTGAAATGCAGGTAAGAGGTGACTACTTGCTCCATTGGTCTCAATTTATTTCTATGGTTTGTTTTTCTCTACTCCAAACTAAATTGCTATTCTATTGTCTGGATTTCCCATGTCACCCATCCTCATCTACTACTGAAATCCTATCCATCATTCAGAACCTAGATCAGTGGTGGTGTACCTATGGCATGCATGCCGCAGCTGGCTGTTCATGAACACTGAAAGCTCTAAAAGGTTTGCCATCACTGACCTAGATCATGTGCCATCTCTACCAGGAAGCTTTCCATGAACTGAAGTGCCAAATACACACTTTTATGTATTTAATGCTCTTCTTTATATTAAAATGTCTGTGCATATTTTAATCATTATCTTCTCCAGCACAATAATTAATCTAGCGGCCTCCAATTTTATTTCATTATTTTACACAAAGATCTGCTGACTCCACAACTTGAAAGAAAACAGACATAAATGAACTCCAGAAGATGCAAATGAGTGGAATAAAAAATAACTACATTGTAGAAATGTAAGAAATAAATATGCATTCATACCGGTATTCTGCTCCCCACCCTTTAACAAAACTCATTCTTATGGTGCACATTCTGGTTAGCTGATACACGGCTTCAAAACCCTGATTAACAGACTGAGCCAGAAGAGCAGCAAATTCCTGGTTGTTAAAGATCTTCAGGTTACAGCCTAGGATTAAGAAAAAGTAAAAGAAACTATAAAACTGTATCACCAGAAAAATAATTTTTAAAAGGCTATATAGGTTTTAGAATTTGAGCATGCAAATTTATCTCCTGTTTCCTAAAATTATTAGCAACTAGAAAAACTAAGCAGGTTGATGTGATACGTTTATTTACATTGTTGAGTCCATACCTGGTGGAATTTTACACACTGTTGCAGGGTGCCAGCCGTATCTCTGATTACAATTGGGGCTCTGCACAAAGATTGCACTATCACTTAGGCACTCAGCAAAAACTTCCCCACCTATGTAATATAAGCGCACTCCTCTTCCTAAAACAAAATACATATGGGGTTAGTTTTATAACACTTACTATTTTCAGTGTGACTTTGGGAGAGTCTTCTTGGAGGAAGTCTAAAATGATATAAAGTATTTCCATGACTCTTTTCATAGCTATGCTTTTCTGAAGTCTAACTCTGAAATTAACAATGTGTATTTTTCAAAGTTTTTAAACAATGATTTTATTGATTTTTAAAAATACATACTTATCAAAATATTTAATGTAAAATAAAGTATATAGATAGTAAAATAGTTTTGTACAAGTTACATACTACTTAAATTAGTAAGAAAAACAGTTAATTTTTAAAGAATTAACTAATGTTTGGACAAATATTTTCGTCTTTCCTTAAATATCACACTCAGGTTAAGAAAAAGATAAAAACATTATGAGGTTAAAAAACCATATATTATGGTGGCAACCAAATCTATATAAGCAGCATTAGTAAGAAAAAGTTATATTGCAATATTTTAATACTTCTCTGAAAATACAGTACACCCAAAGAAACACCAAAAAATTAGGTTTGAGGACTTAAAATACCTGTGCATGCAGCATTCTAATCCAGCACCTAACAGTCACTGGGTGCTGCTCTGAAGGGATTTTTCAGAAGTAATTAAGGCAGCAAATCAGTTGAATTCAACAAAGGCAGATATGATTGTTATGTAGCAAAAGAAAATTACTAAGACAACCAATAGCTAGGTTTTATAGATAAATGCAGAAGTCAGTACCCTGCTCTCTTAAGACTATACCATTGTCAAATCAATCAATCATGTACTCTATCAGGAAAACATTAAGTTCAACAAGTAGATTTTTCAGGTTATACTGGAAGTATGCAAATGATCTACAATTACTTAAATCTAAAATATTGTTCAGAGAAGTGAATATGGCAGAGGAAACCATCTGTTAAATTTTTATGCAAAACCCCAATTAAAACCAGAACAAGGCCGGGGATTTAGCTCAGTGGTTCTGCTGCCTGCTTCGCAAGCACAAGGACCTGAGTTCAATCCCTGGTACCAAAAAAAAAAAAAACAGCCTAACTATGTACAGTCAGAGATCTTCCTCACCTGTAATAATTCATCAAGGAAGAATTGAGAGAACTTCTAAAGAAAGCCAAGTGATAGACCTCACAGTCACTGTATTTTATAATATTAAAATCACTCTTTGGTAATCAGCATTATTTTCACAGAAGGTGATAGTTCAAAGAAAATAGAAGCAAGTTACTGTTAAAAGAAGTGACTCGAGAATGCTGCTCACTAGTCCCTCTCAAACCTTTTTCACTTCACTATTAAAAAAAATACTGATGACTCCCAAAAGGTTTTGTATATGTGGACTCTTATTTATAGACATTTACTATATTTGCTATTTAAAACTGGATTTTTTTTCCCTTTCCTGTGTGTTGTGGGGGGGTCCTGGGGCCTGAACCTAGGAAGCACTGAACTACAACAATTTTCCTGTCTCCAGAGTAGTTGGGATTATAGCTATGTACCACAACACCCAGTTAAAATTAAGATTTTTAAGATATGTGTTAATTCATTTAAAACTAAAAACTATGAAGTTACTACTTATTAACGTAAACAATGTTTATAAAAAAAGAACTGTTTCCAAAGTAAAAATTCAGAGAGTGGCAATGTATCATAGTTCTGCAAGTTTATTGTCTGCCACAAAAGAAGAGAACTGGATTATCTTATTGGATTTATATTTCACCTTTTGCAAAATCATATGCCACATAGCTTCTAGATACCCCACCATACACTTCGAGAGTGCCATCTTTGTACCATTATGAAAACAGTTCTGATCTCACAAGCTTGCTAAAAGGGTTTCTGGGACTATAACTGATCTCCTGACTATATTTTGAGGTCCACTGAATTATTTTTTGAATTATGTAAATGGTAATTCTTGTTTTAGATACCTAGCCTCAAATTAACAGTGAGCAGATCAAATTTAGTATATAAGCTCCTGGGAAGCAGTCTGGAGATAAACTTTTTAAAAAGTTCAAGATTTGTTAAAATCATAATCTCAAAATTTGAAATACAGCCATTTCATGAACTGTAGAAATTCAGTGCATTAATGTTATTTTAACACATATTTACTGAAGGATTTGCCAGTATCGAGGGTGCCAAATAAAGATTAAGTTGAAGAAAAGTTTGCAGATTAAAGAGTCACCAGGCTCTATTAAAAGCAGTGAGGCCCATGCACTTATACATGATGGCACTTAAACTGATGCAAAGACAGCTGAGTTTTTTACATTCAAGCTTTTTATGTGGTATACCACATAATGCCCACATTACAAGTTTTTCACATAAGGAAAATAAAACGTACCTATATGTCTTCTTGTCATTTCTACTGTAGCATTTCGGTTAACATTGGAGAGTAAACCTAAGCAGAACCTCTCTGAATTTGATGGATCTGTAAAGCCATCCACAGTGAGTGAGGGCTGTGATGCATGGAAGGTCTCTCCAACCCTCTGATTTAATTCATAATATGCTATTGAACACCAAAATGCAGGTTCGGAGTAAGTAACTGGCTGCAAATCTGAAAAAATAAATAAGTGAAAAGAAATGTCATGTGAGCAAGCTGAAAATAGATTGAACACCATCTTCTTCACATGCTCTATGCCAGCACATACTAGTAAAAGTTTAAGAAGTAGACCTTACATCTGTAATAGTTTCCACAGATATCAGATTTTCAATTTTTGAAATGTCCCCCATCTCATGAGGTTACTCTTTGTTGTTTTAATTTAGTAGTTTTAATTTAGTTTCTAATTAAATACAAAACCACCACAGGCAAAAATAAGTCCACTTGCTATACTTGGTGTATTTCTAAAATATCGAACTAATAAAGGCAACTTCTGGTAGGATAAAGTAGAATAAAGCCACAGAAAAGATTAGCCAGAACAAAATTTCAAAATAAAAGGCTATAACAGACTATTCTTTTTTTTTTTTGGCGTTTTGTCTATTTTGACATGAAATTCTAGGTGAGTTTACCCTAGTTACAAAACACAGGAAATTCATGCATATATGAAAACCAGAAAGTAATAAAACATAAAATATGCAAGTAGAAGCAATATAGAATCACAAGGCTATTTACAGGAAAATAAAGATCATATGTATTTCATGCCTATTATTTGACTAAAACATGTCATAAGGAAAAAAACCTGGTAATTTTGTAGAATTACAAACATGTAGAAGCTAAAATTATGAGACAGCTAGGTAAAATAAGGGTCAAAAGTAAAGTACATAAATACCTATACAAATATATACACAATACACATTCAATCTCATGTAGACATACAGATTATCTGTTCCAGATATATGTATTTATGTGATTTATACTTGTGTATATATATACATACACCTCATACTGTTACAAGAAATATAAGCATACTTGCAGAGCTCCATCCAGAGTAAGTCATGAATTTTTTAATAATGTGTTTCAATGAATAAGGATTTCATACATTCATGTGCCAGTAGACTTAGTTATATTGAGATTTATCAATCTTTTTTAAAAGCACTGATTTAATTTGCATAATTATTTATTTCATTGATATCCCTTTCTTGTTCATATAAAAAATAATTTTCAATACAGTAAAAACAGTGGGAAGTACTTACAACTTACCCAAGCTATGGTTAACAGGGGAGAGAGTAGTAGGAGACAGTTCTGCTGGAGATCCTAAAAGAAAAGGAGAAAAATCTAATAGATGCTGTATATTTCCAGAACTTCTGGTCAAGTAGCAATAAAACTGGTTGCCTGTAGTAGCTATAATATCACTAATAAAACACAGTAACTTAAATCCCAAGAACTAAAAATATGTTAATTACCGTATTTTAGTTTAATTTGGGAAATCACAATATATAAAATGCACAAACAGTCCTGCCTTCTCACTACCCAGTTCCCCTTTCAAACGAATTTATTATTGACAGTTCCTTCTCTTTAAGATATACATGGTTCAAACTACTCTATGAACCATACACGTGAATGTATTTTCATATAACAAACAGTAACAGTTCTGACCAACTATATTACTGATTCAGAAACTGTTCATTCAACAACTACTCAACTGTTTGTGTTGATGTTTCATTACTGTCCTTGTTATCTATCACTCAGTAGCGTAACATTACCTTGTGGTACATTATGATACCATACTGATGAATATTCAGGCTGCTTCTGATCACTTGCAGGACTGCAAGGACTAATCTTACACATTTTGCAAACTCCCAAAACTAACTAAATGGTACTTTTAACAGAGAAACTGCCAGGCAGAGTTTGGATATAATTATGATAGATTTTGCTAAAATTATCATTCAAAAGTTATACTAGTTTACATTCCCAGTAACAAAATAAATGGTGATGAGTGATCGATGTTGATTAGTGAAAACATACTCAACAACTATACTTTTAGTTTACGTTTCCCTTATAAACGACATTGAGGGGTTTTATGGTTCTTCACATTCCCCTTTTCTGAAAAGTCTCTTCCTTTCTTTTGCTTATTTTTCTCTTGTATTAATCAGTTTTCTTACTGATTTGTAGAAAGCTCTTCATGAATTAAAGGTATCAGTCCCTTCCTGGTAGTTTGCAACTATTTGGTCATTTAAAACTCATTTCTAGTTAAGATCATGCAGCATTTAATGGTGTTCATGTCACAGTTTAGTAAAGTTGTGACAGTGAGTATTCTTATTTTACCTGTGACTGTGAGATAATGTTTGTGGTATTTTCCCACTAAGCATGAAACTGGCTTTGAAGTTAAGAAAGTTACTTATTCCAGACTTTTGCATCTATTATCTCAAGAAATACTGATGAGTAAATGTGCATGAGCATTATGTTTCTAAGGATCTGTGATTAATGTAATGAAACGTATAAGCTTTATATTTTTCAATGCTTTTTAAGTTTAAATTGCATTGTAACAGTACATTCTTTTTAAAGTCTGGTAGAACTCTCTTGTGACGCTGCAGCTGACATTTTAGGTTACCAAAACATTTCTCTATTTCTTCCATGAAAGTCGACTTGTTAAGATAGCTCTATTTATGGTAATTAGTTTTATTTACTGAGTTATATTTTCTCAGAAAATTATCCAATTCTTTCTGTTTTAAGTAAACAAGCTAAATTAATCAAGAAAATGAGAGGCCATAAATACACAGAAGAAAAATGAACAACAGACAAAAAAATATTGAACTACTTCATTCAATCCTATGCCAATTACATTTTAAAACACATTTGCTGTAAATGTCAAATAATCATATTATAATTATAAATACAGGATAGATTTTACTGATGATCATTCTCTATGCATTCAGGGAAACTTCACCTTCAAAAGCATGACTGACCAACACACAGCTCCCAAACTTCAAATATACAGATATATGGAATAAGAGAGGTCAGAAGACTTCATGAAGTCCTTTCTACCACATACTACTATTGCCATGACATAAAATGACAGGTAACAAAGGGGAAATGCCAACCCCTAGATAAACAGATGGAAGAAGAGAACAGATAATTATTTTTAGAAAACAAAATAGTTTTCCCTAACACACTTAAATGATGTTCTTTGTTCCTCAGTTGAAAAATCTGTTAAGTCACAACAGGTAGAACTAAGAAACGTCAAAATAAATTTAGAACAATGAACTAAAACTGCTGATTCCTGAAGCAGATATAAGATAAACAAAACCACTATTAGAAACGTAAGAACTACCTATTTATATCTTTTAACTATTTAATTCTCTATTAAATACTGATCAGAGGAGACCAGGAAGGTCATAATTTATTAACTTAAAACCAATTAAGAGTCCAGTTAGATGTGACAGGAGTTAGATTTATAGATGACAAAAAGGCTTATTACAAAATTTTAAGAATTTAAGTGAAAACAATATTTTAGGAAAAAAATTGAAATAAGTAATTGATAATTGTATATTATTCACATATAAATAAATGCTGCTGCTGAAGTTGGCTTACAAAAGGCATTTCAGTTGAGAGGGTAATAAATATTCTCACTCTTTCAGCTAGTTTGAATCACCACTATTACAAGCTGCTAGAACATTCAGAGAAATCATTACACATGTATCTCTGCATACTACATAACATGTATTTTTAATATACATTTTCCAAAGAGGAAATGTTACTTATTTTTATAAGTGCATAAACAAACACCAAAACATTCTTAGTGTCTCTTTGCACTGTTATCAAATATTGACATCTGCCACTGCGAAGGGCTTAAAGGGGGAAACTATTATTTACCTTTTGTCATACACAGTACACTGATATGTTTTGTCCATTTTTTCATTACTTTCTTTTTTCCTCTTGATTTGTAAGTTTTTTAAAATTTTGAAGTCAGTTATTAGAATTGGCATGTATTTGTAAATATTTCCCTCAGTCTTCAGATCTGTTTTGGTGTATCTTTCCAGGTGACAAAGTTTGTTTTATTTTTTAAAGTAGTTTTAGATTCACAGCAAAATAAACTGAAAGGTACAGAGATTAACATATATCTGACACCCCCACACATACAGTCTCACCAGCAACATTCCCATAGTGCAATGGGACAAGGAACCTAGGCTGACAGCACATCCTATCATCAAACCCCCAAAGCTTATATTAAGGCTCACTCTTGGTCTTATACTTTCAATGGGTTTTGATAAACATCTAATAACATGGATTTGTCATCTGTAGTATGACAGAATAGCCTAAAAACATGCCCTGTACTTCACCTAGTCAAACCTTCCCTTCTCTGTAACCCCTACAATTTTTACTGTTTCCATAGTTTTGCCTTTGCCAGAATACCACATAGAAATCATTCAGCATATAGCCTTTACAGATTAGCTTATTTTACTTAACAATATCATTCCTCCATGTCTTTTCATAGCTTCATAGCTCATTTTTTCCTAACACTGAACACCGTTACAGTGTTAGGATGTACTATAGTTTATCCATTTACCTATTAAAAGGCATCTTGGCTGCTTCCAAATTTGGGGCAATTATGAATAAAGCTTTTCTAAACATCCATGTCCAGGTTTTTGTGTGAATGTAAGTTTTCAATTCATCTGGGTTAATATCAAGGAAAAAGATTGTAAGACTGTAAGTTAAAGGGGATGGGTAGTTTTCTAAGAAACTGCCAAACTATCTTCTAAAGAGGTATCTACCAAGTTAGGATACAGAAAGATACAGAATTGAGTATGCTAAAGGAAAAACCAACCAAAATCTTAATGGCTGTGCACTGGCAATTGAAACCTCAAGCTGCCCAGAAGCAGGTTCGTATATACACAGTTCTCTACTGAGTATGTGGTAGGTAGCATGGTAAATCTTGGGCAAACCTAGAAAACAGTAAGTTATCATCTACTTTTATCATACTTATATATGTAAGCCTTATTGAGGAAGAGGACTGACCTATGAAACCTGAGATGATCTAACATTAAAGCACCATGTTATTTATCACTCATCCGACTCAAGTCTACTTAGAGAGATCAGCTTAGTAACCACGAAAAGAAATGAGTGGGTCTCTCCAAGGGAAAATATTATTTATATTACTCTACACTGTTTTAACGTGCAATACCAAATATCAAATTAAAAAATACAAAACAAAGTAGGAAAATCAGACCAATAGATGGACAGATCAACAGACAGATCAACATATTAACCAGGCACTGGAATTATCAGAAAAAGACTTTACAATAAAAAACATAAAACTTAAATTTAGAATCCTCTCAAAACAAAGATTCAACTGGTTTAACAATAAGCTCATGTATATATTATCACTTGCTTTTCAAAAAAGGAGCCAAGGGAATTCAATGAAGCAAGAAAAGTTTCTTCAACAAAGGGCAATGGAACAAACGTCTGCAGGAAAGAAAGAAATGGACACAGCACAGATTGTTGACATACTGATCAGGCTTCCCTATTCCCCATATTTAAACCTATGCTGATGTTTCTATGGGGATTTTTTTTTTTTTTTTTTTTTTTTTTAAACCAGGGATTGAACTCAGGTCTTTGCGCTTGTAAGGCAGGCCACCAAACCGCTGAGCTAAATCCCCGGCCCTGAAGCACTATATTTTTATCCTTTAAAACTGTTCTTCAAAAAACTCAAAGTCTAAAGCTAAAATAACATTGTACCTTGGGGTTTAAATGTATCAAGCAGAATAAATATATGAAAACAGCAAGAACCACAATAGTACATGAATGTAATTCTAGCATTGTAGTTGCATTTTATATCAAGTTGTAAAGTATTATAACTTAAGCAACCTTCTCTTAAAGGTGCTAAGAACAGTGCAATTACTAGAACACCTACTGAGAAATTTATACTAAATGTTACAGCTAAAAAGCCAAAGGAGAATTAAGAGAATAAAAAATATCTGCCTCATCTAACAGGGAGGAAAATAAAGAGGAACAAAAACCACATGAGACAAACAGAAAATAATTATCAAAAATGGTAACCTAAATGCTATAAAAACAATAATTATTTTAAATAAAAGTGACTCAATTTTTCCATGTAAAAGACAAAGATTGAATAAGGCACAAAATGCTGTCGCAGCCACAGTAAAAATATCTTACAAATAAAGATGCAAATAAACTGAAAAGGATGAAAAAATAACATATAGCCACTGAGATAAAAAGATATAGTAATGGTAATATAAGACAGATTTTATTAGGGTGAATTCATCAGGAAGACATAATAATTCTAAATGTATACC